AAACCTGTAATTATAACGATGAAAATTATTAAAATGTGTAAACATTCTCATGTTTTATACGTGGTTTTATACGAGCAGCCACGCTGCAGATATTTTTTTGTTGTAGCACGAATGGGTTTTTTCGACCAGGAAAGTACCATGCTCTCATATAACACTAGTGTAAAAAATAAACTTAATGCTACTGTGGTTCGTACGGCGAGTGTATACAACCGGAGATCATTTTTGCTGGAAACGAGGCATTGCATATTAGTCCTCAGGGATGACATTGTTCTGACTTCCCACAATAGAGTGAGGAGCCCCATTCAAAATATAATAAACGCTAAAGCAAAGTATCCATTTCATACATTACAAATAAAATGTCGATCTGCTAGCGTTGTGATTGTGTGGCCGATCACACGTCACGAAAGCAAATATCGTGTCGCACGCCGGCGGCGTTAATAGCGTTTGTTGGGTTAGGGTCAGTTCACACCGAGACGTGAGGCGCGCAATTTTACGATAGTGATACAAAATATATCTTTATTTACTACACAAAAAGATACACATTTAATTGAGATAATTCGAAAATTTCGTTTCGTTAGCGGTGCACTGTCGGTAGGCGCGGCGTGCAAGAGCGGCACTGCGCTTTGCGAAGCCGTGTTACGCAGCGCACCGCCACCGTATTTTGTATGGTAAATGTAGAGAATCGGAGACCCTTTAGGCATTCCATATTAGTACTCTCGAGAAAATGCCTCCGCGTTTCGATTTTTAATCGAGGATAAGTGTAAATGTTCATGGGCCACAGCATTCACTTACCATCACGTAGACTGTGCACTCGTTTTTCATCCTTGTCCTTTATAAAAATTTGGTTATTAATTTTGAAATATATTTATTATTATAATAATTACATAATGGAATTGATACATATATATATATATATATAGTGTCACTTTTGTAGCTAATCTAATTAAATGCCAGAAAACCTTATACGGAATAAAACATGATCCAGTGAGTTATAGTCCTTTTGAATTTGTTATAATTTTAAAATTTTATATTCTTTGGTAGTTTGTTTAATATATCAGTTGCCATAAAAAAGAAACAACTTTTACCATAACAGTAGTAGAGCCTAGCGGCAGCTTTTGCTGTCGCACGGATGGGCCGGCTCGAACCGGGGTAGTACCACGACCTCACAGAAAACCAGCGTGAAGTAGAGGTTTACCTCTGCGTTTTGCTTGGTGAGTGCAGGTGGCCGGAGGCCCTTTTTACTGGAAATGAGGCATTCCATCTTAGTGTTCACGGGTGACAACGCATCTACATTTTGATTTGTAACAGAGGATAGATGTAGATGTCTATGGGCCGCAGCAACCACTTACCATCAGGTGGACTGTGTGCTCGTTTATCACCCTTATCCTATAAAAAAAAACCATTTATATTAAGTCTTTGTTATAGTGTTATAACTTACCTATAATTCGGTCTTTTTTTCCAACACTTCATTGAGTGATGGAAATCAGTTTGGATGCTTGATGGGACAAGGCAACGGTAAAATTTTTAGTTTTCAAATAATGATGTACAGTGTTCATAAAATTCGTAATAACGTTCTTCCATATTATTTTTTGATTTTCAATGCTTAATTAGGAATCAAAGTATTCTTCAAATATTTAAATTAAATAATATATCAAAATGTTTAAATTATTAAAATAATAGTCTATTAATTTAACTTCTTTGTGAGATCAATTACCACTAGTATTGTTTTCGGAATGATTCGACTTAGGGATCGTCAAGAAAATAGTCTATCATAGTTTAAAGGTTGGCAATGCACCCACAATTCCCCTGGTGTTGTTGTTGTTCATGGGTGATGGTATCCACTTTCCATCAGGTGAGCCGATGAAGAGTTAAAAGAGAGGGACAACAAATCATTCTTTTATTGCACGCGTACACCACTTGAGGGAGTGCTCTACGAAACATGCGTAAGACCCGTCATGTCCTACGCCAGCGTATCCTTCGCCCACGTGTCCGAAACTAATTTGAACAGACTCAAAGTTAACAAAAATATCTTCATTTGAAAAGCCAGTGGAGTTCGTTAGTACCAGCGAAACTCCGATTTTTATAGACATTGCTAACTTCTGACGATTTCAGAATATTGAAATTAAATATCTTAGCGCTACTTCGAGAGCGCCGAAATACATCCCAACCCGTTAGTGGTAAGGGCAGCCACCTACGTTCCAACTCCAAATGTCGCGGCCTTTCTCCGGAGGCCTCGTAATATTTTAATTTAAAATCCGATTCCGTTAGACTCCGACGACTCAAATGTTGCCGGACCATCATACACCAACACTACACACGCACCTAGTGCCACAAGCACAGTTAGGACAACGGATGGGACACAGCGAGTCTACAGACAGGTACACCGCGCACCTATCCACATCGCGTATACACCGTACACCCGCGTCCCTGGGCTGGTCTCACCGCCCTGAACATTGAACCATCCGAGTTAGCCGTCAGAGCCAGGGCTTGCCACTTTTGTTCGAACGGCGATTAGACAATTCACCCTTATCATGTCGTGGTCTTCGGCAGCATATGGGAGTATTTGATGTTGAATTAATCATGATGTGATCACTGAACACAATAAATTCCACCACAAGATTATAGATTTAAGTGCAACGTAGCATTTGCAACCTTGCACTAAAATAAATAATCTATTCCGTTTCTTTTTATTGCTTGCGGCCTTTCGGGCCGTGAGCCCTGACTCCCATGAAGCAGTAAGAGCCGCATAAGCTAATAGCACAAACATCATCAGAAACCAGAGAATCAGTGATAAACTAAACCATTTAGAACTGCATTGTAACTGTGAAAACAAATAATAGACCTTAAACTCTCCGAAATGTTATTACTCTAAAAGCAGTAATTCGTTTTTTGCGGCTTCCTTGAATTTATTGTAAACTGAGTCTTAGTCTCAGTTTATCCTGAAAATAATGGCAAAAACGATGTAAATGGCTCACAATTTATCTCTGTGGAGATTGTCAGTCCAAGAACTAGTCACATAATGCTTTTAATGTAGTGTAAGTAATGTTTATATAATCGATATCTGCTTATATTTTTTTATTTCTTAATGTCGACTCTAAGAAACGTAAGGATAATTGTGTTCAGTTTTGGGACATATATATTAGGACATTACATATGAAATTGGTGTTTTGTACGGGAATTCCTCCCGTAAAAAGTCAATTTTTTTTGTAAAATTATATTTAATTAATCAAAGTATGCACCGTTGTTATATATGCACTTTTGCCATCTCATAGGTAGTTCAATGATCCCTTAACTAAAAAACCACGTATCGTGCTTTGTTTTGCGACACCAGCGCCGTACACATCATTAATCATTCGAGCAGTTCCTGCGGCACAGGTGCCACGGTAGAACTCGTACTCGTAAATATACCGATATTTCATGTTTTCCATTGTGCGGTAATAAGCGACGCAAAAGAAAAATATAATGAGGAAAAACAAATAAATGACTGTTTTCAAAACTCAAATGTACCAGCTAAATGAATTTATAAATTTGAATTTGGAATTCTTAACCAAAGAGGAGATATTTCAGATCAAAATGGTTAGTACGACAAAACGATAATTTCATATGCGTAAATATACGCAGTAAAATAGTTAAGATAGTGATATAGTTATATTCCTAGGGATATAGCTATATACCTTAACATGGTTATATGTAAGCGGTTTATACTATCTTACTAAACTAATCTAGTAAAATAATTTAAATAAAACTAATTTTACGGATTTTATCGCATATATTAACTTATTTTATATATCCGACGTTTCGGCTGCTTTCCAGCACCTGTGGTCACGGAGCTGAGCACGTGGTAAATCAGCACTTAAAATAAAAATTAACAATTTCATTGGTGACGGCGGGGATCAAACCCGGGGTGCTCGTGTACTACCAAATTTACAGCGAGCGATTAGTCCCTGAGCCACCAAGGCTAGTTATCTCTAAGAAGCTGTAAAATCCAAAAGATTAACAGCACTTACATTTTGAATAAAGAAGGCTGCACTAAAACTACTGACTGAGTAAAAATTTGACTCTATCGCATATGACTGATATATTTTGTTTCAATTTAATTCATGAATTAATCGTTTGTAAAAGCAGCTGTTACATGTACTTCAAATATCATAAAAAAATTCCTTTCTTCAATACAGAAAATGGGCATCAGTCTTTCCAGGCGAGCGAACTCAATTTAAGCAGCCCCTTTATCAATTGAGCGCCTTTGTGACAATTAAGACCCGACCTCGGTTTTCCATTAGAATGATTTACGTGGTAGACCTTCGTTCCAGCGTACGAGTATTTTGGCGTCAGCAAGTGAGTCGGCTCGACCAAGGAAGAGAGTAGTATACAGAGATATTTAAAATGAAAAATATTTTTTTTATTATGTGGTTGCGAAAGGGGCGACCGAGGTATACCGAAAACAAAAGACAGGTAGCAGTATCTTCCTGATAAGAACTAAAAATAATATTGTTACGAGTTTGGCGTTCAAGACAATTAAAAACAGCCGATTGAAATACCACAATTGACACTTTAATTACAGAACACTAATTACAATCTAAAACCACACTAATAATAAAACACAATTGTACTACTGATCACTTTAGTTCGCAGTTATTTCGCTTCGAAGTATTCTCTTGTATCGCCGATTCAACACTGACTCGGTCGTGGTCTATACCGGCCTAATATAGGGCCTCAGATAGTTTCCAGAACCTTTTACTGTAGAAACATCTAGAATGTTCGAGTACATATCGGTCCTGAAATTTCTAGAAGGAATTTGATTCTTCTAGTTCTGCTTCTCAACACTAGAGGGTGCTAGTGGTAACTAATGTTGCCATGTACAAGACATTAATAGTGGCGCGCAACACTGCCCCCTCCTAAGACATGCTCGTCCCGAGCATTATTGGCCCCATAATAGTGCGCCAGTAGATCCACATGGACGATCTTAGGAGTCCCTGTGGCACCTTTCTGTATCCGGCAGGCTACGTCATTGATCCTTGCCACAATCCGGTACGGTCCGTCCCATTTGTAAGCTTAGGAGATTTCCCTTTGCTGCGAACTGGATTGTTAAACCACATTAGTGAACCTTCGTCAAACCCTTTGTTGTTCATTTTGCGGTCATACCGTATTTTCATCCTCTCAGACGTTTGCTGGCCCGACTGTCTGACGTGCTCATAAATGTCATTCATTTTGTTCCGCAAGTCATTTGCATAATCGGTTATACTGCGTGGGGCATCATGTGGTATTCCAGTGATCAGGTCTGCAGGCAGTCGTAATTCTCTCCCAAAGTTTGCGAAAGCTGGTGTCACTGATGTACTTTCGTGAACATTGCTTCGATATGACAACAAAAACGGTTGTATGTCCCTGTCCCAGTCTCGTTGCCGTTTTTCCACAACTTTTGCTAGGTACCTCTCCAACGTCTGATTAAATCGTTCTACCATTTCATCAGATTGTGGGTGGTAAGAAATTGTTCATGTTTTATGAGTACCCATAACTCGGCAAGTTTCCTGGAATATTTGAGACTCAAAATTCCTTCCTTGATCGCTGTGAATCTGTAAAAGTACTCCAAAACGACAGAAGACTTCATGAACTAGTTTATCTGCTACAGTTGAAGCTTCTTGATTTCGAATGGCGAAGACTTCTGGCTACTTAGTGAAGTAATCCATCACAACCATGTCGGCGCACGTCATCGCGCCTCGGCAAAAAGTGGAGGACGCGGGGGGCGCGGACCGGTCGTTGACCCTGCGACAGCGCAGGCACTTCCGTCGGACACTCAGCTGCGAGACGCGGTAGCAGATGGGCACTTCAGTATTCAATTTGCGTTGCATTTGTTCAGAGTATTTTACGGCATCAAATCTATAGTTAAATACAGTCTACTTATTTTATTTACAAAGTCCTGATAAGGCCTAAACATATGGTCCTTCGATCGCAAAACATTTACCAGTTTTTTGCCGTAATTAACGTCGACATCGTCAACGGTCACCGTGCGAACTTTGAACCCACGGCCACATATATTGAAGAAGGAAGTCGTTCCCGTAGCAGTCTGCGTCATCATTGAAGACGCTGATGTCATCCTGGGAGTATAAAAACTGTATTTGAGTGAGTTCGTTCCAATTAGTTATTTTTCCACTTTTTTTCATGCCGAGAAAATCATTTCTACATATTTCATTGGCTAAGTTATATAAGTAATATTTCATTTACTTTTAATAAGTAGGTACCTAATTAACTTCAGTGCTTTAAAAATTGCTTGTTGCAACGTTCGCTTGTTTAAATTTTAATGCTTATTCCGTTACAAATATCAAGCGCTCAAGTGTCCATTCGTTGACCTTGCGCTGATTCATATTTTACCTGCGCGCAACAGTCCTTTTGTTCTCGCACAGCAGTTATCTTTTTTATCCTAAAGTTATCGACGTTTTCTTTTCCTTTGCTGTGTTTATATAAAAATAAAATGGCAGATAGTTTAAAAACTTTATTGAAGAAGCGTAGTGCGATAAAATCAAAGCTTACAATTTACAACAATTATTTAAATTTAATTAAAAGTAGTTCTGATATTTCTGAGTTGCTACGTCTAGACTTAGCGGAGCGTTTTAATAAATTCGAAACCTTATATTCAGAATTTGATGAATTACAGACAAACATAGAAGTGCTTGCCGATGATACGGGGTCTGCGTTGGTTGAGCGTGAGGACTTTGACCGTCAGTTCTTCAATCTGGTGGCCATCACGCGCAGCTTGCTCGGTGCTTCGTCCAACGGTGCTGGGTCAGAGGCGGGCTTCAGAGATGCTGACTCAGGTGCACACGGTTTAAATAAGAATAGTTTTGTTCGTTTGCCTAAAATAGATTTACCTGATTTCGATGGGAACTACCAGTGCTGGCTCGAATTTCGAGATACATTTACGTCATCAATACACGATAACTCTAGTATCAATGAAATAAACAAGTTCCACTATTTGCGCGCTTCATTGCAGGGAAACGCAGCCTTAGTTATTAAAAATATTGATTTTAAAGGCGATCATTTTAAAATTGCGTGGGACATGTTGTGTGAGCGGTATAACAACAACCGTCTCCTTGTCAATAATCATATGCAAGCTTTGTTTGATATCGATCCTATAGTCAAGGAGTCAAGTGTCTCAATCAGAAACCTGGTAGATACACTTAATAAAAATGTAAGGGCACTGACAAAACTCAATCAGCCTACTCAATATTGGGACACATTATTAGTATATGTCATGACTAAAAAATTAGATTTGACAACAAGTCGTGACTGGGAAGAGCATAGGAACAATATTTTAAAAGATGATCCTACTTTAACGCAATTTTGTTCCTTTTTGAATAGGAAAGCGGATTGGTTGAAGTCCGTTGAGTCAAATATCAATTTTTCTCAGACGAATACTACTGTAGCTTTAAATAATAGTCATACATATAAACATTCCAATTATAAAGTCACTCAAGTTAATAAAAAATCACATAATAAATTTAATAAAATAAATGAATATCCACTTTGCTCCCAGGCTCATACATTATATAAATGTGAATCCTTCAAAAACTTAACTATAGAGGATCGCATAAAAAGGCAAATGATTACAATGTTTGTCTTAACTGCTTGCGCGTCGGACATTCTGCTAAGCAGTGTAAACTCACACATTGCAAATATTGCAAAACAAAGCACAATACGCTTTTGCATTTAGAATTTAGTGAACCCAAACCATTTTCGAATCCACTGCCTCCTGCTTTGCCTTCTGCTTTGCCTTCTGCTTTGCCTTCTGCGTCAAACATCGCACTATCAGCCAATTCCTTGCAGCTTGCTACTCCTGCGCATGTTTTACTGTCCACAGCTATGGTGAACGTGATTAGCGGGACGGGTAAGAAGTACACTGCGCGGCCACTGCTGGACAACGGTAGTACCGCCAACTTTGTTACGCAGAGACTATCAGAGAAACTGGGTTTGTCACATCGCGATAGGAGCACCAAGGTAACGGGTATTAATAATCACATATCCAAAAAAGCTTTTACAAAAATTTACTTTGCAAATATCCGCGTTATAAAATAAAATGATGTGTCTTACCTAGTATGAAGAAGAACCTCCCGCCCTCACTCAATTGCGTGCATTATCCCCGTCACCACTAAACCCAGCACCGCTACTTCCAACACCACTACACTAGGCAAGTGCCATTTGCAAAGTAAATTTTTGTAAAAGCTTTTATATAATGGATTTCCGCAAAGTAACGCCTGCTTCTATTAATTAAATCACATATCCATCAGTACACAGTCTTGTCACCTCACAATTGAGTCTTTATGCTGTGTATTTACTGTTAATATCGAGTGTCATATTTTACCCGAAATAACAAAGGTTCTACCGTCTTCATTCGTGCATATAAATCACGTCCCTATTCCTTCAGGTCTAACACTAGCAGACCCGAACTTTAATGTTCCGTCGGTCGTAGATATCCTAGTAGGGGCTGAGGTGTATTGGAATGTCTTAGGCAGCAAAACTATAGATTTAGGGAAACATCTACCTAAATTGTGCGAAACTAAATTCGGTTGGCTTGTCTCCGGTAGTATTTCGCATCAATCTAGTTTTGTTTCATCACACCTTTGTCAGCATTCCAACGTCACTCCCGACCTAGCTCAATTTTGGGAGCTTGACTACGTGTCGTCAAAACATTCACTTTCTCTTGAAGAAAGGGTCTGTGAACAACTTTTTGCCCAAACCACCGTTCGTAAAAATGATGGTAGGTTTGTCGTGACGATGCCCTTAAAAGAGGACCCTAGAACTTTAGGGCATTCGTATGGAAACGCAAAAAATCGTTTTCTATCCCTGGAACGGCGATTTAAACGAGATCCTTCATTTAAAACTAAATATTGTGAATTTATGAGAGAATATGAGCATTTAGGTCATATGACTTTAGACTCTGACTGTACTTCTACGCCTAAAAACTCCGTGATCACATAACCTCGTTTTCAAGTCTATCACACAGAGAAACGCCGAGCGTGGAGAGTGGAGAGGGCTATCTCCTTAGCTCGTTGAGCGACTCTGAGCTTCCTCAAATGGCCAGCAGTGAGGGACCACGTCTCAGTTCCATAGGTCATCACTAGCAACACGCACTGGTTGTACAATTTCGTTTTAAGGTTTTGAGGTATGTCTGACGAGAAGATGTGTCGTAGCTTCCCGAACGCTGCCCAGCCGAGTTGAATCCGTCGATTGACCTCTCGGTCGAAGTTAGATTTACTTAGTCGGACTTTTGTCCCAGATAAACATATTCGTCAACAACTTCCAGCTTAATGCTCTCAACAACTACCGGCATGGGTGTTACATGGACGTTAAACATGATTTTTGTTTTGTCCATGTTTATCTTAAGACCTATCCGTTCGGAGACACTATTAAGGTAATTGACCATAGTGCTTAGGTCATCCAGTGATTCTGCCATAAGGACTATATCGTCGGCAAGTTGGAGGTGAGTGATGTACTCGTCATTGACGTTAATACCGTATCCTTTCCAGTCCAGTAGCTTGAAAACGTCTTCCAATGCAGCGGTGAATAATTTCGAGGATATTACGTTACCCTGTCTTTCACCACTCTGCATTTGGATAGGTTTCGTGCTCTGGTTCTGTATTCGCATATCCATTGTTGCCCTACTGTACAAACACTTCAATACCTTGATAAACTGACAGTCCATTTGGCACCACTGGAGTGACTGCAGCACCGCCCAAATTTGAACGGAATCAAAGGCTTTCTCATAGTCCACATGCGTAAGACAAAGTGGCAGATTGTACTCTTCGGTCTTCTGTACAGTTTGCCGAAGGGTATGTATGTGGTCTATGGTGCTAAAGCCTTTTCGGAACCGGCTTGTTCGGGAGGCTGGAAGTCGTCGAGTGTGTAAATAAACTTAAAATCTACTTATTGGTACTTCTTATTTTGGTATACCTCAAAACTTGAAAACAAGATTGTATAACCAGTGCGTGTTGCCAGTGTTGACTTATGGATCTGAGACGTGACCCTTCACTGCTGGCTGAATGAGGAAGCCCAAGGTTGCTCAGCGAGCTATGGGGCTGTATCTTAAGGGGTATGCTCAGGGTATTCCCTGCGTGATAATAAAGAGACTTGCGAAGAGCTGTATTGATGATGATGACAATGTATGACCATAGTAAAAAATAAATAAAAATAGTTTTCATTAACCTTAAAGGTGAGTGAAAAAATTGAGATTTGATTGTAAATAATTGTTTTGTAGGATTTTTACAACATACATACTTTTTTATATTTACATACACTCTCACGCCAGTTAACCAGAATTTTAATACATTCGGAACTTTTACATCTCTTTTTATTAAACTATAAGAAATAAGCTTAACAGCGGTGAATCTATACAATTGTCCAGACAAATAAGGACAAGAGGGTTATAACAATACAAGACAAGTGGGAAGGTAAGAAACGATAGGAAACA